CGAGGGCACACTTGCAACCTTGACTCAAGCTGCACAAGAGCAAATCCATATAGACCAAAACGTTGTACTCCCCTAATATTTCTGGGCGAAAAAAAAAAAAGACATGCTCCCGTTCCTAGCACCAGCCACATCAACACGTGTGGGCGTCTGCCCAGGGGAGCTTGCTGGACTCACAGTGGGGCAGAGAGTAGGGGGCTGCTGGCCTCAGTGGGACTGTGGTCGCATGAAGAAACGAGAGCTGGGGTGGAAAGGGCCCTCTGGCACTGTGTGAGGAGACGGGCTGGGGACAGGCGGGCGAGTCGGGCAGTGAGTAGCAGTCAGGTAGGGGGTTGGGCTGTGTGAGGTTGGGACAAGTGACAGATCTGGACTTCTCTAAAGGTGGGTGGGCGTAAGAGGAGCAGGAGGGTGGCTGTCCTTCACTGGGGACGACTCTTCAAGGTCTTTCTCGTGAACCTCCCTCCTGGGCAGCCCAGCTGCCCCGCCGCCCGACACCCTGCTTTCTCCGAAGGAGCCCATCCTGGAGAAAGGCGTGTGAGCGCCCTGGCCAGCCACTAGGAGCACCACCGCCCGTGCTGTTCCGTCTCCAGCTGCAGTGGCCTTACCCAAACCCCACAACTGCACCACGGTGTTCCTGGGCCCCACGGGTGGCAGCAGGTCTCCAGACACCGCTCCGTCAGTCCATACAGGCACTGCAAGCGGCGCCGCAGGCGGCTCAGGCTGGGCTGTCACCAACACAGGCTCCACGCCTGACACGAGGGGAGGGCGTCGTGATGCCCCTAACTGCCCTCTCGCTGCACGCTCGCGCCAGCCCGCTCCCTAGCTTGGGAGAAGCCCGTCCAGGCGCTACTGCCACGCTCGCTTCTCTGGACGCACCAGGAGCCTCCCTTGCTGCCCCTGCCACCCCGACACCGCAGGGGAGCCTGCACGGGGCCCATCGGGCTGTCTGGGGCCTCCCACAGGCCCATGACAGAGGCAGCTGCCGAGCTTGGGGGCTGTCTTTCCTCTGGGACGGAGGCCTGACTCCACCTTGCCCCATTCCAACCTGAGCGGCACCGCGCCCAGCGGGCAGGCTCTCCGCCTGCGCCTTCCAGCAGGCTAGAGCAGCCCGGCCCCGCCCTCCCTGCTGACCGCGAGCTCCCCCCCGCTGGTCCGGGACTGCAGCCCTGTCGCGGACCGCACAGGCCAGGGCCCTACGACATGACACGGGCATGTCCCACTCGGGCCTGGCACCAGGGCAGGGAAGACGGAGACCACAAAGGACTGGCCACATCTGCAAAGAAAACCCGGAGAAAAGAAGGCTCCCACCAAGTCACGTGCCTGCTGATGCCAGCCAACCAGTGACACGAGTGCACCCAGTTAGGGTGTGCGTGTGCAGAGACCGGGACAAACGGGGCAAAGGCTTCCCAGTGAATCTTAAATGAACAAGTCACACAACACACAGACACACTGAAACACATTATGTATTTCCACTTTTGTGTTTTAAAATAAATATGAAGGCCGGGCGCGGTGGCTCACGCCTGTAGTCCTAGCACTCTGGGAGGCCGAGCGCGAGATCTGCTCGAGGTCAGGAGTCCAAAACCAGCCTGAGCAAGAGCGAGACCCCGTCTCTACTATAAATAGAAAGAAATTAATTGGCCAACTAAAAATATATAGGAAAAATTTGCCAGGCATGGGGGCGCATGCCTGTAGTCCCAGCTACTCGGGAGGCTGAGGCAGGAGGATTGCTTGAGCCCAGGAGTGTGAGGTTGCTGTGAGCTAGGCTGACGCCACAGCACTCACTCTAGCCTGGGCAACAAAGCCAGACTGTCTCAAAAAAATAAAAAATAAATAAAATAAATGTGAAGTATATATAACCCCAAATCAGAGTGATACTGTTGGCAGAGAGGATGTAAAGCCCGGGGGTGGCACAGCACGTGGGAAATGTGACTGATTCTCTCTAGACAATAGGGATCTGTGATTCTTTTCAAACTTTCTGTGCAAATGCTATAAAAACACTGGCCTTATAGCGTTTGGTGGCAGCTCTGTCTCCAAGGCACAGGAGGACCTGCAGCGTTTCGGCACCCCAGGGTGGAGCTCACAGGCTGGCATGGACCCAGGGGAAAGGCCAGAGAGGTCAACTCCCAAGCCCCACAGGACCCCTGAGGGGAATGAACTCCAAATTTAAAATGTATGTATGCATAATAAATATATACAATGTTACTCATGCACCATTGCGCCCACCCCGTAAGGTAATACGTTAAGAAAAAAAAAGGCGGGGCTTGGTGGCTCACGCCTGTAATCCTAGCACTCTGGGAGGCTGAGGTGGGAGGATCACTTTAGGCCAGGAGTTCAAGACCAGCCTCACCAAGAGTGAGACTCTGTCTCTACCAACAATAGAAAAAATTGGCCAGGCACAGTGGCACCCACAGTCCCAGCCACTCGGGAAGCTGAGGTGGGAGGATCGCTGAAGCCCAGGAGTTTGAGGCTACAGTGAGCTGGGATGACGCCATAGCACTCCAGCCAAGACAACAGAGCGAAACTGCTCACAAAAATAAATAAACAGAAGAAAGAGCTGGACAAAACGTTGATGAAATAAACATTGTTAAACATCTTACCGTGAGGCCCTCCTATTGCCATTAGGTACTACTATTCTTGGGCACGGAATCTTCTTAGGGAAGCATTCATCATCACTTGCAGAGATTTGAATATAGCCGGTTGCGTTTTGGTGCCTTTGCCCTGGGCCGGCGTCTCGACCTGCTGCGCTCTGCTTGGCGCCGCGCCCACAGCAGGGGCTGGCTCCCCGCTCTCCTGTCCACTCGCCCGTGTTTTCACTGTTTTCTTCACTCTGCAGTTTCTTAGCAGAAATCTTCTTAAATGCTTTTAGTGTGTAAAAAAAATTTTTTTTGAGACAGAGTCTCACTTTGCTGTCCAGGCTAGAGTGAGTGCCATGGCGTCAGCCTAGCTCACAGCAACCTCACACTCCTGGGCTCAAGCAATCCTCCTGCCTCAGCCTCCCGAGAAGCTGGGACTACAGGCATGCGTCACCATGCCTGGCTAATTTTTTGTATATGTATTAGCTGGCCAATTAATTTCTTTCTATTTATAGTAGAGACGGGGTCTCGCTCTTGCTCAGGCTGGTTTCGAACTCCTGACCTCGAGCAATCTGCCCATCTCGGCCTCCCAGAATGCTAGGGTTACAGGCGTGAGCCACCGCGCCCGGCCTAGTACATCAAATTTTAAAATGCACAACAACACAGCGAAGAGTGCAGCACGTCCTCAACGCCGACCCGCACCCGCACTGTGCGGCTCCTCTGTCTGGGGCGGCTGTGAGGGGCCTTTGCGACAGGGCCGCTCCTCTGGGGCCGCTGTGAGGGGGCCTTTGCGACAGGGCCGCTCCTCTGGGGCCGCTGTGAGGGGCCTTTGCGACGGGGCCGCTCCTCTGGGGCCGCTGTGAGGGGGCCTTTGCGACGGGGCCGCTCCTCTGGGGCCGCTGTGAGGGGGCCTTTGCGACGGGGCCGCTCCTCTGGGGCCGCTGTGAGGGGGCCTTTGCGACGGGGCCGCTCCTCTGGAGCCGCTGTGAGGGGGCCTTTGCGACTGGGCCGCTCCTCTGGGGCCGCTGTGAGGGGGCCTTTGCGACAGGGCCGCTCCTCTGGGGCCACCCCACAGACAGCAGGGCGCTGGCTCCCAGGCAAAGGCGCGAGCCTCCCAAAAGCACACAGCCACAACCATTACGCCTGAGAAAATGAGTCTGCCGGGAGCCCGCATACCAACTACCTCTCCGTTCCCTGAAGGTTTTTATGAGCACCCGCACCTGAAGGCAGGAAGCCATCAAGATTATTGCGCTAGGCTACGCATGCTTTTCTGCTTCTTTGGCTCCAGAAGCACTCACGACGCTCAGCTGTGTCAAGAGCCAGTGACCTGTAGCAGAAGGATCTTTTCTAGCCACATGTTGGTTGTGACCACCGCTCAAATCCAGTATCAGGGCTCCCAAGTCCAGTTAGGGAGGCACAAGCTGCCACCACGCGGAGCTCCAGGTGCTCAGGGCGCCCCCACGCCCGCCCCGGCCCCTCGCACCGGGCGCACGACCAGGGAGCGCCAGGCCACGCAGCTGCCAGTGTCTGCGCACGGGCCAGACCTTTCTCTAAATTACAGCTTTGCTCTCCCGAGGCCCCAGTGGTGCCCACCCAGGCCCCTCGCCACCCTCTCTCCAGGGACGAGGACCTGGGCCCTGTCCATCCGGAACATGCCGTGGGCGAGGCAGTGGCCCAGCCCACAACTGCACCGTTTCAAAGCTTCACCTCGGGCAGCTGTGCCGGGGGCAGAGGAAAAAGTGTTACAAGACTTGCCTTCCACGTGGCATGCTGTGACCCTGGCGCCTAAAACCCAGAGCCGCATACTTGCCAGCTCTTCCGGCGGGCAGTCTGAGCGGCGCGTTCACGGAGCCGGGGCTGCAACGTGGCGGAGCTCTCGCAGCTTGTCCGAGGACACGGAGTGGGGACGCCTGCCGAGCAGGAGGGCCAGCACTTCGGCCCTCTCCGCCCGGCTCTGCAGCCCACACCTCCGTCCCTGCTCCACCCCAGCTGCCAGGACCGCCCCGCCCGGCCCTGTCAACCTTGTCCCCAGGCCGAGCACCCCTCATTTGCTGCCTCAGCGACACTGAAGACAGCAACAGCAGCGCTGGGATGTGTTTGGGGAAAACACCTCAATCTAAGCTCAAGCGGCCCTGCATACTTCTGTAAAAAAGTAAAAAAAGAATAAGCTCTGGCTGGGTGCCTGTAATCCTAGCACTCTGGGAGGCCGAGGTGGTGGATCACTTGAGGTCAGGAGTTCGAAACCAGCCTGAACAAGAGCGAGACCCTGTCTCTACTATAAATAGAAAGAAATTAATTGGCCAACTGATATATATAGAAAAAATTAGCGGGGCATGGTGGCGCATGCCTGTAGTCCCAGCTACTTGGGAGGCTGAGGCAGGAGGATCGCTTGAGCCCAGGAGATTGAGGTTGCTGTGAGCTAGGCTGACGCCACGGCACTCACTCTAGCCTGGGCAACACAGTGAGACTCTGTTTCAAAAAAAAAAAAAAGTGAGCTCGAGCGGCCCAACAAGAGCCCGTGAGGCAGGCGGAACTGGAGAGGGTGCAGCGGGGCCCAGCAGGGCTCACCAGTGCCGCGAGGGTGGACGGGAGGGACAGGAGAGGAGGCGCGTGTCAGGGCATGACTCTGCTGCTTGCAGCAGCCACGCCTCCTGTATGCTGCCTTGGTTGTTTCTGAGCAGCTGAGCACAAATCTCTGAACACCCGTGAGCTATTTCAGCTCTGTCTGCCTAACAGCTTCCTTCAGGTTTTGGACTCCAACTCTGGCTTCTCTGCCCTGGCTTCCCTCCCTGGCATGCCGGTGGCTCCCTCTGTATGCTCATTTTCATGCCCTGATGTCCTTGACTTTAAAGGGAGGATGGACAGTGTATGAAGCCGGCCAAGGCGAGAAGCAACAACAGGCTCCAGGGAAGGGCCCAGCCCCATCAGGGCCTGACCTGCGGGCCGTGCTGCCCTAGGGCGCCCTCCCAGGACCACAGACCCCCGTAAGGGGGCACCACTCTCCCCATGTTCGCTGTGCAGGCACCCCTGGGTGCCAGTGAGAGCGAGGAGGGGGACCCCAGCAATATTCCCCGAGTCACGACGAGTCCCCCTCCCCTGCTTTCAAACTCAGCAACCCTGGCAGACCAAAAAGGCTCACCTTTGAACGCCACCTCCCAGTGACCTTCCAAGGAGCGGTTCCGGCCGGTGACAACATACTGATAGCCGACCCACAGCCTGCAGGGACAGAGATGGAGACCTCAGCGGGGGTGGGGGGGGTGTGCCGTCTATGGATGACAGCGCTTGTGCATTCTAACACTTACACTGACCCCCAAAACACCGACCTTCTAAAACAGGAGAGATTGAAGATTAACGCTTAATTTTAATCAAATGCATTAAAATTCTAAGTAATAAGTCCACGGTTCAGAAGAAGTTTTATCTCTGGGAACTCTCACCAAGACTGCTCTTATTAGCAGATCCAATAAAGCTTTTGTGTTTTAAGCAAGACCAACCTTATTCTTGGTGGACGTGAAGCCCCAGGAATACAACTCAGTGAATGGGCTGGAACCACAGAACCACGAGCGCTAATGGGCTGTGGTCCGTGGCGTGTGCGCCACTCTCCAGTGAAGAAGCAAACCCCCGCGAACAGGCGCCACCAGGGCGGTTAAACCCTCAGGCCTGCAGCGTGCTCCCAAGCGCACGTGGCCCGGCACTGGGCACCTGCTCACAGGCCTGCCGAGTCTGTGCCTCTCACCCTGGGGGCTTTCCAGCCCCCGCCCAGAGATGCCTGTCAGCAGGGCCGCCCGGCACGGCGCTGCTCCGCCCTCAGCCTGCACCAGGCGACGCGCGTCCTGGGAGGTGGGGCTGCTGCCTCACGCTTCTCTGAGGGACTTGCGGCAGGACCTCGTGGGGTCAGTACAGTAACCTGTGAGCTAAGAGTTGTTTCCCTCCGTTTGTTGCTGCAGAGGGAAAAATAGCTCCCTCTTGTGATTTGCCAAGTCCCACGGGGCGTAACTATGGAGCGAAACCCAGCTCGGGCTCAGGTCTTGAGACGAAGGCCCTCTGCCCACGTGCTGCAGGGCACTGTGCTCCAGGGCGGCGTGCGGCCTGTGCCGCCGCAGGGGTGGCAGGCCACCAGCAGAGTGCACCAGCCGTTCCTGGGCCCTGCTGCTCACTGCCCCACAGGGCTACCTTCCCCGCTGGAAAAGGAGACAGCAACTGGCTGCCATGTGAGGCAACCTCCAGAGGTGGCACCCCACAAGCCTCACACAGCCTGCCCCCAAGCAGAACCCCCCACCAACACTGGGTCTGAAGGCCGGCGCAGCAGCTCATGCCTGCAATCCTAGTACTCCGGGAAGCTAAGGCAGGAGGATCGTTTGAGCTCAGGAGTTCGAGACCAGCCTGAGCAAGAGCATGACCTGTCTCTACTAAAAAAAAAAAATATATATATAAAAGACTAGCTGGGCAACTAAAAATAGAAAACATTAGCTGGGTATGGTGGCGCATGCCTGTAGTCCCAACTACTCAGGAGGCTGAGGCAGGAGGATTGCTTGAGCCCAGGAGTTTGAGGTTGCTGTGAACTGTGATGACACCATGGCACTGTAGCCTGGGGGACAGAGCAAGATTCTGTCTCAAAAAAAAAAAAAAAAAAGAACAAAACGAAACACTGGGTCTGGTGTACAGCAGTGGGTCCCCTTTCCAGGCTCCCTCCTCGATAAGGCTGAGCCTGCAGGTCAAGGGCCAGGCTCTGGGGCCAGGCTGCCCGGGCCGAATCCTGACCCACACCCAGTGAGTGCAGAGTCCACAGTCCACATGCGCGCGCCCCCCAGGGACCCTAGGCTTTTTGGGAGGACTGAATGAGCAGACGCACAGAAAGCACTGAGCACCGGGCCAGCGGGGCCCTCTATCTTAGGAGGGACCTCCGCTTGCCTGGGCACGCCGTGGCCCACGGCGCCCCACACTAAGCATGCACCCGCCCAACTGAGACAGGCTGGCACCCTGTGGGGCTGTGGACCAGCCCCTTTCAAAGGGCCCCCCCCCCCCCCCGCAGCCTGCCCCACCTTCTCCGCAAGCCCCCACCCATCTCCTTGCCCTCCCCAGGCCCTGGTCTCCATGCGCTCCCAGTGGGGGCAGGGCGGGCCACCCCAGGAGTGCTCTGGCCAGCCAGAGGCCACATGCTGGGCAGTCCTCAGACTCTGACCGGGACTCACTTGCGCTGGTCCTTCCAACCGAAGCTCCGCTCGGACTGGTCCCATTCCTGGGCCAGGACGAAGCGCAGCTCCTGGTCGGTGGAGAAAGTGGCGAGGGAGCCGTTGAGGCGCTGGCAGGTCTGCGCGGCGTCCCAGTAGTTCTCCCCGCTCAGGTAGACCCTGTAGCAGCTGGCCGTGCCTTCGTAGTGGTGCCACCCTGTCGGGCACTTCCCTAGGAAACATGGAGCACAGAAGGGGTGTCGTCCCCCAAATTAGGACCTGACTCCAGAACATCACACGTGCCGCGTCGGGGCGGCGCGCTCGGAAAGCAGCCCAGGCGAGTGGAGCCGGAGGGCCAAGGAGACAAGCTCCTGGCCTGAGACCACCGGCGGGCGCTGCAGAAAGGCTCAAGTTTCTCCACGATGTACGTTCGATGCAAAAGCCAAGTGAATCCAGCGATTCCTCCCAGCTCTAAATGGCCTTTCAGTCCTCTCAGCGGAAAGAGCGGCTGCAGGGTCAGTCCCTGTGACACAGGCACCGCCCCCGGGAGAGCGCAGCGGCTCGCAAGGCAGCGCAGGCGGGGGCGCCGCCCCACACCCGGCCCTCCCGGCTCTCCTGCCAGCTCTGCCCTGCACCGCAGCTCAGCAGGCCAGAGCTGGGAGGGCCCGAGACCTTGTGACCCGCGCCTGCCCTCCACGGGGAGAAAAGGAGGCCTGCGCGCTGCCCCAGCCGCAAAGCCGAGGACCAGCAGGAGCCCGAGCCTCCCTGCGTCCAGCCAGTGTCTCCTCCTTCCTCGGCCTCTCAGTGTGCCCCTCGGCCGGGGAAGGCCTAGTAATTTACAGCGTACCTTAAGGAGCATTAGTGACCTGTTTTGTTTTGTGTTTGAGATAGAGTCTCACTCTGTTGCCTGGGCTAGAGTGCCGTGGCGTCAGCCTAGCTCACAGCAACCTCAAACTCCTGGGCTCAAGCCATCCTGCTGCCTCAGCCTCCCAAGTAGCTGGGACTACAGGCCTGCGCCACCGTGCCCGGCTAATTTTTTTCTATATATTTTTAGTTGGCCAATTAATTTATTTCTATTTATAGTAGAGACGGAGTCTCGCTCTTGCTCAGGCTGGTTTCGAACTCCTGACCTTGAGTGATCCTCCTACCTTGGCCTCCCAGAGTGCTAGGATGACAGGCGTGAGCCACCACGCCCGGCCTGTGACTTATTTTATAGAATCTACAACCTTCAAATGCTGGGCACCTCCTAACAGTACACTGAAGAAAAATAACAACTTTTAGCAAAGCCAGTTGTTTAAAAAAAAATGCATTTTTTTAATGCATCCTATGGAACTAATAAAATTTCCTGGAGACTTATGCTCATGCTTTTATTATTTAGAGCACATGTGTGTGTGTGACTTCTGAACAAATGCACATAGACTATGGGAAAGGAAGTGGCAGCTCTGGACCCCGAGCTGGAGGCAGGGCCAGGGCGCTGCGTGCGCTGGCTGCCCGCCGCGGAGACGTGCAGCTGAGTGCGCAGGGAAGCTCCCCAGGTGCGGGCAAGGCGCCAGCTCTGGGAGAAAAGGTGTGGCACAGCACCGCCGCTGCGTGTTGCTGACTGCCCACATGACGTGGTCAGCACGCGCCTAGCAGGTGGCCCTGTTCCGTCCGGCAGAGAGGTGAGGAGGGACAGGCCGAGCAGCTGCAGGTCGCTAGCACCAGGGCCGGGCTTCCCCTCTCAGCCGGGCCCGGAGGAAACCCCCGGGGAGGGAAACCGCTGGCCGGGGACACTGGAGGAAGAAAGCACTCCTTTTCATTGATGCATCTTTCTATGCTCTGAACTGCATGGGATCACGGCCTGCTGGAAATTAGACAAGCAATGGGATGAGAGGACACGGAGCTGAGGCCCCCACGGGGCTGTGCCCTGGAGCCACCCCTTCCAGCTGGGGGACCTCTCGCCTCAGCTTCCACACCCACCAGTACTTGACCACCCTCTGGCTGCGGGATCCGCACAGGGGCCCCAGCAACTGCGTGGCAGAGCCGGGCACAGAGGACAGCTGGCCCACGCCACCCGCAGCTCGCTTGGTCCTCGGCAGACAAAGAACTGAGGCTCTACGAGGGGCAGGAGCTGTGAGGAGTGCCAGGGCCGTCCCAGGGACTCGCCACTGACAGTGCCGGGCTCGGGCAGAGCCCACTGCAGCTCGGCTGCCCTGCCCTGGCTGCCGGCAGTGGGCACAGGCCGCCGCGCTCCCCATTGCTGAGAGGCTGGGGCTGAGCACTACTAGCACAGCAGACACGGCAGGGGTCAGGCCTGCCTGCCCTGGGGTCAGGTGCCCCCAGCGTACCTCAGAGCACCTCACCTGCACAGGTCTGCCTGGGACCGGCGACTTCAGCCGTGGCTTTTCCTCCCCCCAGCCTTCCTTGATCTTGTTATGTACCTATACAATTTTAACACCTTATCCTCAAAATTCTTGAATAGGAAAAAAAAACAAAATAAAATTTTAATGTCATAGGTAATTCATTAAATAACCAATTACCTTAAAAAATTAAAAAAAAAAAAAAACAACAACGTTGAATAGAGCCTTCCCAGCCATCACTCAGCCCACCTCGCCGTGCAGAGCGGCGTCTGCGTCTACCGAGGGAAGGGCGCAGCAGCAGGGGCGCCAAGACCTGAAAGGCTGTCACTTTGTGAAAGTGAGCCGCCCGAGCGCCTTCCCGGCTTGGTCGCGAGCTGGGTGTCCGTGGCGGGGCAGCGCAGCCTCGCTCGCTCCACAGTCACCTCCCAGGGCTGTCTGGGGACACCGGCACTCACGTGAGCCAACAGCGGCACCGAGAGCGGCCGGCCAGGCCTGCAACTTACTGCTGAAGCGGACGGGCTGCGCCACGTTCACCGCGTGGAAGTGTGTGGGGTCGCCGGCTCTCGCCCGCCCCTGCCGCGGGTCCACGGCCTCCTTCCCATGGCGAGGACGCACCTCTGCGGTCACTTCTGAAAGCAAAGGAGACAAGAGTTGTGAGTCCCGCCCAGCCAGCTGAGGGCGGCTCCCCGGCCGGCGCCAAGCTCTAGGGCGGCCGGCGCCGGGCTCTAGGGCAGCGGGCGTGGGCTCTAGGGCAGCGGGCATGGGCTGCCGGGGCTGGAGGGGAGGCCTGGCCCGCACAGTCCAAGCCCCTCGGGCTCTTTTGTCGTTCAGGTCAAAAGGGTCACGTGTGCTTACTCAAATTATGCCTTGGCAGTCTTTTTATAATTACTATTGTGATATGGGGTCTCTCTCTCTCATTGCATTTTCCAACAGGTTGTTGCAAGCACGGCCCAGGGTCAGCCATGCCTACTGCAAATCCCTCGGCAGCTCCAGAGCCGGGGGCAGGACACACCATGCAGGGGAGCTCTTCCCAGAGCCCAAGCTGCCCTTCCCCCACCCCAGCCAGCCTGGGAGCCGCCCCTGCTGGTAAAAGGGGGACCCACGTGCAGGACCCTCCTCTGCAGTGCTAGGGCCTCCGGGCCTGAGCACCTAACATCCACCCGTCTGCCCGTCCCCAAAGGCCGTGGGGGCCTCGGCATAGGCCTGGTGTGCAGCGGGCCTCAGTGAGTGGCTGGAAGGCGTGAGCAGGAAGCTGAAGATGGGGGAAGAGTCTAGTTTTATGTATCTTGATCTATTAATCCGCAGGTCAGTTCCTCCACACTCTCTCTAGAGTCCTCTGCAGGTAAAGACTGATGCAGAGGAGGGAGGTGGCTTACCCAAGGCCACGGAGCAGGAGAGAGGAATGGGCAGTGCCCCTCGCAGGCCCACCCACCTGCCACTCTGCCTGCACAGGTGTACCCTGATGCACAGTGACTAAGCACCTGGGGCGAGGTTAGGTCAGACCTGCGACAAATGGCCTGCATGGCTGCACAGACACCTGCCCACAGGCACGCTCCTGCCTCAGCTCGCTCAGGCCAGCCTGACCTCCCCTGCCCCCAGCCTGGCAGTCGGCCCTACCTGACAAGCTCCGGACAAAGCTCCTCCGGGCTGGTTCTGCTAGCGTCATGGCTGACTCGGTCTTTATTTAATAAATAGGCTGCATGTTTTTCTCATTATAAAATATCCAGTGTGAAACATCTGAGCAATACAGAAGTTTGAAAAGACAACACACAATAAAGGCAACAAACCCTTGTCTATACAAGAGTCTGCCCCCACTATCTCTTTTCCTACTTTGTGTAAAACATATTTATTACTTAAAAATATTGGGATCACAGCAAATACTCTATTTTATGACTTGCTTTGTAACCTTAAGGCTATAAACAGCCTTTCATTTCCTAAATAGGCTTAAAACCTTACTTTCGATGGCTGCACAGTATTCTGGGAATCCATTTGTTTCAATACCAGAATCCCTATACTTTGAAGTTTAGGGATGTTTGCATCTTTTTTCATTCCACAGAAGGCTGAAGTAAATACCTAGTACAAAAAATTTGTGTGTGTTCTTCATCATGTCAACGGAAAAATGCCAAACTACGCAAAATAATTTTAAAGAGATTTATTCTGAGCCAAAATTGAGGACCATGACCCGGAGCCACTGCCAAGAGGCCTTGAGCAGTGGGCTCGTTGTGGCTGGGTGACAGTTCAGTTTTATACATTTCAGAGAGACAGGGGTTACAGACAAAGTCACAAATCAATACATGAGAGGCGCACATTGGTTTGGCCCAAAAAGGTGGGACATCTCCAAGGGGGGCCTTACAGGTTATAGGTGGGTTTAAAGATTTCTTGGCTGGCAATTGGCTGAGAGAGTTAGACTTTATCTAGAAGACCAGAAAGGATAAGCTTATTTTAAGATAAGGGTGTGAGCACTCTGGGAGGTCCAGACAGGAGGACATTTTAAATTTACAATAGGATGCTAGGATGCTTTATTTAAGATGCTTTAAATTTACAATAGGCACCTACTAAGATGCTTGAGTTAAGATAGGGGATTCTTATCTTTTTGGTAATGTTAATGCGGTACCAGAATCAAGTTGGGAAGTAAACCACCGCTTTATTTGGTTAACAAAAGCCGCTTAGTGGGAATTTACTGTTAGTCAGCCTGACCCAGCTGACCTTCGTAGGAGGGAGTTTTTAGCAAAAGAAAAAGATCAGAGTTCAGTCCTCAGTCATGTCTGAGACCCTGGGCAAGTCAAAACCCTAGATGCTTTGCTTACTTCACCCACAAAATAGTCACTAAGCATATTTTTTTGTCCTTTTTTAAAATTTCAGCATATTATAAGGGTACAAATTTTAAGGTTTCAAATAATGCCCTTGCCCTCTCTCCCCCAAGTCTGAGCTTCAAGTGTGACCATCCCCCAGACGGTGCACATCTCACTCATTGTATATGTATACACCTGCCCCCTCCCCCTCCCACCTGCCCAATACCCAATAAATGTAAATCCTATGTGTCCACTTAAGTACCGATCAGTTAATGCCAATTTGCTGGTGAGCTATTACAATGGTGATATAGCACATCCTGTATTTTCCTGAATAGAGCTGGAACCCATACTACTAAGTGAAGTATCCCAAGAATGGAAAAACAAGCGTCCCTAAGCATATTTCCATAGCTTCTCTGGGGCACGCGACAGGGACCAATTGGACCTAAGATGGAAAATCACTCTGAAATACAAAATATGCTACCAGCGTCTGAGCTATCTTCAACATAAAGTGAGACCCCCCAAGGGAGAAACATCGTCAAGGCCTCATTGTGTGTCTTCAGCGCAGGTGCCTTTGGAGGTACTTTGACACCCCAAAATGCAATGTGATGATCTCAGATGTTGCCGCCAGTCTGGGACAGGAAGCCGGCACAGAGACAGGCCTGATGCTGCAAACACCTAGCTCTCTAGGTGTTAGGGGACGGCCAGCTCTCTAGGACTGGGGAGCCCCACCCCGTGTCCTGGGCAGGGCCCCTGCAGCATCTGCTGCGGGGACTCGCTGCCCCCGCTGGGAAGCAGGGCAGCCCATAGCACAGACCCTGGCGGGGAGGCGGGCGGGGTTGCCGGGAGGGCAGAGCCGCCTGGCCTGGCGAGGGAGCTGCACCTTAACTGGGGAGGGTGGGGGCGGGGGAGAAGAGTTTCCTCAGAGGCAAAGACAGGAACGCCTGGGACAAGTTTGAGGTTGTCCGCATTTTTTTTTCATTCTACGAAAGGGCGCATTAAATAACTCCCATGACCCAGCCTGGGTGTGGCTGGAGCACACGTCACTGACTCTAAATGCCACATCTTCCTCTGTCCGCTTAGCGGTCAAGACCTGCAGCTCCGCTTTGCGCCTTGGCCTCTCCCCCAGAGCGAGCACAGCACCTGGGGAAACTGCCCACCGCGGCGACCAGATGAATCCAGGGCAGATGGCGGGAGGGAAAAGGTGACGGCGAGAGCTGCCACTCTCGGGCGCCCGAGGCCAGGTTGGGCACACACAAGACGGTTTGAGAGACGCTACCTGCAGGCTGGGGTGGAGGACAGGGAGGGACCTGCAGGCTGGGGTGGAGGACAGGGAGGGATGTTTCAGGGAAGTAACCAGAAGGCCAAATGGCGGTAGAGGCAGCTAGTCTGTGCTGAGCAGGCTTCTCTGGCTTGGGTGGCGACTGTGAGCCCTTCACCTGTCTTGCACCTCTCTTCGTACCCAAATGCCCACCTTCACCCCTCACCTGCTCATTGGTGCCACACGTCTGTGCCCACCACGGAAACCTGCCAGCACAGCCTCCAGCCTTGGCCAGCGAGGAGGGGAAGGGCCCAGCCAACGGGTGACACTGACGGTGGGCGGACGGGGACCTGCAGCCTCCTGGGAGACAGTCTGGGGGGCGGAGCGGACGGGGCTACTAGCACCCTCGGGATGTCTCAGGACCGCCTCTGACAGCAAAGAATCTTCCTCTTCTCCCTGAAGGCCGCCGGCTCTGCTCGCCCGGCCCACCCCTGTGCAGCCATGGGGGGGGGGGTGGGGGGTGAGGGAGGCGTCGTCCGGGACACAGACCCCCCCAAGGCAGCTCTGCCGCCTGGGTCCACTGTCCTAGGCGTGGGGAATGCGGCCCGGAACAAAACAGCACGCGATCCTGTCCTCCTTAGCAGAGGCCACACCCTCCTCCCCACCAGCGACTGGAGGGAGGCTCGTGCCCCGTGACCAGGCTGGGACCAAGCAAGCCCGAGCGCAGGCGCGTGGCCCAACCGAGCCCACTCCTGACGTCTGGAAGAGCAGAAGAGGAACGGCCCCGCAGCCAGGCTGCTCTTCAGTGCTTTAGAGAAGCAGCTCTTCCCTCTAGACGTCCTCACTGGGACGGCACAGCAGCGCTGGCTGCGAAGACGGAGTGGGAGCCCTCGGGAGGGACCTGAAGCAGGGAGGGGACAGCTCAGCCGACTTGGCACTGAACACAAAGGGAAACGGTCTATATAGGCAAGAAAAGCAGGCTCAAAGTGCCAGCAGACTTGCTCCAGGTCAGAAGTGGGACAAAGAGCAGGGGCCTCTCCCTCCTCCAGGACACAGACCTGAGCCTCCCTGCCTCTCTGGCCACTGCAGCGCCGCAGGAAGCCACCCCTGCTGTGCCTCCAGCCCACTGCCTGTCGCCTCCTCTCCCGCCTCTGGCAGCACTGGTGGCTGTGGCGCTGGGGGCTGCCTGCCGACAAACCGAGAGCTGGGGTGCTGGGGAGCCCCTCGCCCAGAGAGGAAACTGGCTTGCTTCCTAACAGCAATTGGCCAGAAAGGATGATTAGCTGCAAATAAAGGACAAAACGTGAGTGATTCTAACTTGTATTTCTAGAAATTTAAACCCTGCCCACACATTAGGGTCCAGATGAGCTTGTAACTTCTCCACATATGGGCAAGGGTGAGACAGCCAAGCCTCCTTGACCCTCTGAGTTGTCAGAACACACATCACTTCCTACTTTACAAAACACAAGTCTGGAATTATGGTCAAAAACCCAATGTTGTTAAGTCTAATAATACTTGTTTACCAAAACATAACTTCTAAAACCAGAAAACCATGAATATAAAATTCCTAATGGTATTG